ACTGGGGTGCAAGTGAGATGTTATCCCCACAAAGCCGTCAAACGAGACGGGGAGATGCTGTACTTTCTGTATGATGAGGGACAGAAGCATATCCAGGTTATTGTATGACTCTTGCAATATACCAATTATCTATACTTATTTTGCCATTCCTCTATGCATACATAGGCCCCGCCCGTAAACCACCCGTTACCACCTTTCCTGTAAGACAGGCACCTTTGGCTGGTCGTGTGTGTCTGGAGTCCTTCACCCGATCGTTGGCGAGCCCTTCATTAATTGCTGCCAATAAAGGCATTGGCTCCGTCCACCAAGAAAGCTTTAGCTAAATCTGGAACCACAATAAGCCGTCTAAACTTTTTAAACGACCGCATAAACCTATCTTTCAGCGTAAATTTTACACTCAAAAGATTGCGTAGTTGGCATGCTGTATAGCAGAAAGCATTTAAATAACAGCTTTATTCAACGATGGGTATAAATGTTTTACAATACCGCTTGGTCACATTACGAATGCGCGCACATTTCTTTATGACCTCCAGAACAGTCTGGCGAATCTGGATGCGCACTTTTATGTCTTTTACGTCACACTGTTTCACCTAATAGAGGCAGGTTCGTCCTATGAATATACATGTTTTCAAATGTAGTTAAAGTATCGCTGTGGAAAGATCAAGCCGGTATCAAAACAAAAATACAAGGTTTATGAAATAAGTCCAAAGTTCGTACATAATTTAACGAAGTTGATTGATTTTCTTTAGTTGTGCTAAAGGGAAAATAAGCCTCCAACGCTAAGGCCCTGGAGGAACTCCAAATAACTATAATCTGCACTTAAGTTTGAGGAAGCCCCACCCTTCTCAGCAAAAGCCTACATGCTTTGATTTTTATATTGTACTCTCAGTTTGGGGCGTCCAGGGTATGGGTGTTATCCGCAAACAACATCTGGAGAAATCTGTCAGATTTAATCTGTTTCACGAAGATTGAATGCTGGTACGCATACATCGCCTTTGCATAGAATAGTAGTCGGTAGGACAACCTACTCTCTATAAACTTTAACCTATCGATAAAACTGTAAAGTCGCAATCTGAATCAGATAATGAGCCGATTCCTTCTTTGATATAATAAGTATCTCCCATGATAACAAACCTCGAGATTGAATGGCTGCCGAAATCCACATGACTCTCATAGGGTATTTTGCTCGGGGAAAGATTGATCACGAAAAACCATCCTTCTGTAGCGAGTTAGAAGTGAGGTTCTTAAGCAACCCTCAAGGAAGATAAGGGAAAACCGACGTGTTTTCCCTTCTGTCTGTTAGGGCTGCATCCTGGTGTTTGCCAGTGATCTTTTTGAGCACGAGCGCCTTAGCGCTTAAAAATCTCTGATACTCTCGGGGAAACTACACATATCAGGTTTCGGTTAAACCGTACATTTATATACGTCATTCCTTCATGGAATTTGCACATTGCTCAGCACTTGCGCACTTTGTAAGTCATGTATCTCTCCTGGGTAGCAAACAACTAATAAAGTGTTGATGCAGTGGTAGCACTTGCTAGTAGTCAGGGTATGCAGGCCGATGTATAGCACAG